TTTGTAATGTAAACGTTGCAATTAAATTCTGGGTCATTGAATAAATATTCAAGATCTTTATCTTTAAGAATTATTCCAGTTTCCCCTTCAGTTTCCCTAATTACTGCTTTCATTGGGATTTCTCCCTCATCTACTTTTCCACCAGGAGTTTGCCATAGTCCTTTCATAATTTCTCCTTTTCTGATCGAGAGAAAAATGCCATCTTGATCCTACAAAATGTTTAAAACATATTTTGGATTCTTTGCTTCTTCTTGTAAGATACTTCTTTTATATTCTTCCATTTCATCTGCCCAGGATTGAGTAGAGGTTTCACTTTCGTTATTGATATCACTTTGATAATCTGAAGTTTCAATGTGGTAACTTTCTCTTTTCTCAGCATCATTATTAGTATCATATTCCAATTCTTCATCAATCATTTGGTCGATTTCTTCATCAAATACAATAGTTGGTATTCTATTTCCTACAACACATTGTACTGAAACAATAACTTTGTCAAGACCGCTGGTTATGAGCATTTCATTATTGTCAAAGTCTACATTAACTTTATTTTTCTTACACCAATCTATTCCTAATAATAATGTTTCATCCATTGATTCGATGACTTGAAAGGTTGTTTTGATAAGAATTCCATGAATAATCAAAGGTACATTTTTGATCACTCCTAATGCTCTTTCTCTTTGTCCATTAGCTGTAACAATAATCACTTGTGATGCTTCTTAAATTGTCAATCCAAGTTTTTTCATTAGCTTTTTTGTCATAATGCTAACTGCTGCTCCAGTATCAATTATTGCTACTACTGAGTTCTGTTTGATGTTAATATGACATCTCAATGCCATAGTTCTTTCACCTTCTTCTGTTGGATTGGTTTGTACCATATTTCCTTCTAATTTTGGTCGTCTCATTCCTTGAAGAAGTTTTCTTTGTTGTTCTCTGCATTGCATCATTTGTCCAATATTAACATTTGCTTTTACATTAAAAAGGTCATCCCAAATGTTATATGGTTCGATATTATCTAAGATTGATGGTCCTCTTGGTATTCTTCTCCTTGGTATAGTAGTATTATTGACTATAGTCTCAGAAATTTCTTCAGTAATATCCATAGCTTCATTTGGTTTACTTCTGATTTTCCTGATTGTAATCTCTCTTTGAGATTCAGATCTCTTCCTTCTAATTGCTGGAAAGACTTCTTGTTCAAGCATGTTTACTTCTCTCTTGTTTGAGACATTATTCTTTATACGCCAAATTTCTTGAGGCATAACTTTTTCTGAGAGACATCTTCTTGCGATATGTCCTTTTTCTTCACATCTAAAGCAGATTACTTCTTTCCTGTCGAAGTTTCTTTCTGTTTCTTTCAAAGTTAGGTTTCTTTCTTTCAATATTATTAGTTGTCAAGGCTGACATAATATTGACTTGGTTTAATGCCATTTGTTCAAACTGCTTAGTTAATTTTTCAAGGTCGTCCTCAACTTTTGGCTTGCTAAAATCATGTTCTGTGGCATAATATCTTCCTGCTTCAACAGTTTTCGCTTGAGTGATTGCAGCATCTAATGTATTAGGATTTTGAATAGCTACCAAGGTTGCTAGCTCTTTATTCAATCCATTTAAAAACATTCGCACTTTAAAGGCGTCAGGGATTCCTCCTGCATCCACTCTACTTGCTAATTTCTTGAATCTAGATGCGTAGGTTTCAACTTTGTCTCTTCCTTGTTTCAAGTTCATAAATTCATATTGTCATATATGCAACTTTTCTTAAGATGAGAATCGAGTTAAAAATCTTTCTCTGAATCCTGTATTAACATGTCCATCCCATCAGTCAATATCTCCATTAATTAGATTGTACCAGTCAGCTGCTTCGTCTCTTAACATTCCTGCTGCGATAGCTACTCTTCTATTGTTTGGCCATCCATTAGCTGCTTGTGTTCTTAAGAAAGTTTCAACTCATTTTTGAGCATCTTCACTATCTCTTTCATAGTAAGGGTCGATTTTTACGATTGAACCTCCTGCTGCGGGTGGTGCTAGTATATTAATTCCATTAAATCCATTAGTCATAGTAGTAGTCATTTGAGTAATCAAGGCCATGAGTTGATCTGCTGTCATTGCCACATTTGCAGTATTTTCTGTGGGATAATTGGAAGTGGTTGGTGTTGTATAATGTGATATGAATATGTTGGTATATTAAGTCAAGTTTAAAGAAGTTTGCGAATCCTAAACTAAATACTAAAGATATTGCTAATCTTTTTGCTTTATTAATGTCAAGATCCTCTGGTCGATTGATATTATAGCACTGGTTAAGTTCAGCAAAGTATTGTTCACTTATAGAAGTATGTGAATATACTTTATATTTCTGACTAATCTATTGATAAAATCTTTTAAATTGGTCGCTTAGATTTTCGGATGCTGGATGACAAATATAACAAGCTCTATTAAATGGTAATTGGCCTCTTCTTATATCTAAATTTATTAAATGTTGATGTCTGTGTCGATGTCTTATTTTGAAGTATAAGTCGTCGTTCATAAACCAATGGAAATTTTAGATTCCTTCAAGAAGTGTTAACAGGTTACTTCTGATAAATAATAGGTTATTTCTGTCTTTGTGTAGGTTAACTAAGTGATTGTGAAGACGTTTTACTTCTTCTTTAATCTCTTGTTTAATTAAATATAAAATATCTAGAGGTAATTTGCTTTCACGATAAGTAATTAGTCTTCTAACTCCTTTCTTAGTGTCAGAATAGATCCAAATATAACTGAGAAGTTCAATGAAAACATTTAACTGTTATTAATAATATTCAGTAGCTAAAGAAATTTCAATGTCGATTTCTTACAGGTGGTTTGTTGTATAGTTGATGTTTTGTTCTAATCTCAGTAATTGTTGAATACTTATAAAAATATGCTGATAATTATTTCCATTTGTTGTATAGTTGATGTTTCGTTCTAATCTCAGTAATTGTTGAATACTTATAAAAATATGCTGATAATTATTTCCGTTTCTTATAAGGAACACCAAAATGTTACGTTTGATTTGTAACTCAAATAAAATTCACAAAAATTAATAATGCTAAGACTAAACTCAGGAATCATAATGAAGATTCGTAATAAACGTCAAAGATTATTCTCAATTACACACAAGTAACTTCTGGATATTTCAGAGATTACGTTTCAGTGACTACACC